GGAATATTTGTGAGAGATTATCTCTGGAATGACAGACTGTTCTATATAATCTCTAATTCCTTCTAAAAACTACCACTCAGATACGGATCAAACAGATTTTGATCACAGTATATTTAATAAGTTAATTGCAATTAGAATTTTAACAATAGCATTTTAATATTATTTCAAGGTTCCAAACCAAGTATCAAAATAGTACCAACTTGGTACCAACTTATAATAATCCACTATATTAAATTTATAGTAGATCATTTCCATTGCACTACTTGTTTCTTTAATTATTTCAAATTCTTCTTTTGTGGCGCATGTCATGTGATCCAAAATTTGGGGACTCGCAACAGTGGCGCATGTTATGTGACCGGAACTTTGGGGGTCCCCCTGGTAGAGTCGATTTTAATATTTAGAAGGATAAGACGAAAGTCACTTTGACAATTGCAAAAATTACAAACAAAAATGGACTCGCGAGATCGTAGAAATGATGGTATCTTATTTAGAGACAGACATTTTTAATTTTTCAACAACTTTATAGTACTAACGATATTTGATCATGAAACAGGTGGAAGCAAAAAAAAATACAGAGGTGAATTATTGACTGGTTGATTACATAACGCTTCAAGATTTACGTGTCGCTAAGACATTCACGACTTTATTCTTATATAGACGATGAACGTCGAGGTGGCGGGCGCGAACGAAGACAAGAACGTGTCAGAGGTTATGGAGAAACTCAAGAACAGCCAGTAGAAGATAGTCCCGAAAAGAGATTGGCGACACTTCTTATCGTGTTAGGTGATAAGGTAGAAAAAACTAGATTAATAGACACCTGTAGGCTTCAAATTCAACCGCATAAGAACTAATATTTAATGATTTTAGATGACACCCGAAGAAATTCACAAAAACATAGAAAAATTTGCGGGCGTCATTCTTGAAGAATATTCTAAATATGAAACGCACATACTGAAAACCTTTAAAAATTGGTTCGATATTTTATGATGGTTATATTGATTTTATATGTACAGGACTATTATGATTCATGTTTATTTTATTTTGCGTGCTCAGTTTCATGGAATTATCAACGAAATCATCCATCTATGGTACTCTTGCCGGCCTTATGAATGCCAAAAGGTCTGACATTGGGGCTGCAATTGTAAAAATGACATCGCAAACTTTGCAACAATGCTTATACGAAGGAAATTGGCGAGGAGCTAAACTGGCGGTAAGAAGTTAGGACTAATGAATAGTTGCTTTTTAACACGTGTATTTTTTCTCATCTTAAAAATGTTTTTTTTCGAAAGCTCAAATTTTTTGCAGAATTAACAAATGCAAATGTTATCCTACCCAGAACTATGTTGGACATTTATGATGATTTGTTGATTACCCTTGACGAATCAAATGTGAAAATGGTATGAACTTCAATATTTAATTAACATGAATGAATTTGGTACCAGCATTCAATGCGATGTCGTTTTATAGTGTCGAGCAGATACAATTATTTACATCATCCTGTCCACATTACCTTATGTAAGTCAATCAACCAATCAACATTTTTTTTTTTGTTACAAGATAAAGTAATCTCGCGTTTACTTTATTCAGGTGGCAATGCGACTGCGTGAGCGAAGTCCGGTGGTGTTGGATAGTGTGCTATCTAAGATTGAACGATATGTTGAAACACGGGAGAGAATTATCATGGAAATTAATGGATCAGCCGTCCTTCAATCCGTCACTCCTTACGTCAGAATTGGTGTTCCTTACGAGCAACAGGATGTTTGTACATTTCTAATTCTCATTTTATGTACCAAATTACTTTTGACAATTTAAGTTCGACACGTGTTCCACTGTGTTTGTTGTAGATGCTTGAATTGTTATGGATACAAATACAAAATTTAAAGCAAAATGATTGGGTGGTACGTGGATATTTCCTTATTTGATCTTTGAGCTTTTCTTAATCTCAGAGTTATATTATCTTTTTGTGTATATTTAGTGTTCGATATTATTGAAACCTTGGTCAGAATACGATAGCATATTGGTGACTGCGGATCAAGTAATTATTTATTATTTATTATCATCTGTTTTTTATGATCCTCGTGCAGAAAAATAATTAATTACTCCTCTTTATTGAAGCATGAAGTCGATAAATTTATAGTTCCAGAACATTCTCACGGAATAAATTATTATCCGGTACCCTTATTTCGAATTTTTGTCGGATTAGAAGATGAGGTATGGATCAAATTTCGAGACGTGTAAATCGTGTTAATAGGCCTCTCATGACGATTTTTTTTTGCTATTAGTCGATGATTGACCTCCATCAGCCTTCAGAAATTTCTTTCTTTCTTGTCCGTGATAATATCGAAGACATTATTGAAATATATGAGATAAATCGTAAAGAGTGCACAAAATACCTAAAAGAACTTCCATACAATTTCGCTCCAGGAACTTTTGTCGATAAAGATACCACTTTGTCAGCGACAAAAACCGAGGTAAAAAATGAGCCTGAGATAAAAGAAGAGCCTGACATTAAAATAGAGCCTGATGATACCTTTTCCTCTGGCTGGGGTGACGATAATTCCACAGAAAGCAAGCCAATGTTAAGTGTGGATAAGGCTAATGGTTTTAGACTTGAACAGATTATTGTCGAGGTAAAATATGGTGAACCTTTTGATACTATATAATATTCAATTGGAATTTGAGTTAATATGGCTAATTCTCAATTGGATTGAACATTGATAATCTAAAGCGCATATTTGGGTATATATTTCAACTACCCCAACCTAGATTCAAGCCTATCTTTTATCATTCGTTATTGACTGAAATATGCAAGAATATGCACGAAACATTTCCTCCTATTATATCCTTTTGGTTTGGTATTTTGTTTATTTCATAAAAGACAGCATTTACAAAAGATTACAATATATTCTTTGACCTAATATGGCGATATTTCACCTTGGTAAGGCCATTGGAATTCTCTTTGACCGACTTGACTTTATGGACGTGGAATGCTGTTACCGATTTTGGAACTGGTTCTCTCACCATCTTAGTAATTTTGGATTTGTTTGGAATTGGAAAGACTGGTAAAAAAACATGAAATTTGATTTGGAGAAATAAACTCACTTGTAATGTTACCTAATTATTGTTTTACCAAATATTGTTCTTCAGGGAAAATACTTTGCAATTAGATCCATTGCACCCTAAAGTTTGTTTCATACGAGAAACGTTAGAAAAGGCTGTGCGTTATAGTTATTACGATCGGATAAGAACTTCGATACCTGATGAATTTTTGGTAGTATTTCCATCATCTGAGCCTTCTACTAATTTTCGTTACGAAGATAAAGGTATGACTACTTTGAAAACCAGCAAATGCATTATCTATTACAAACTTGTTCCAACTCTTAAAAAACCTTTCTTCAGAACATCCATTGTACAATTTGTCTACGAACATGATAAGTAAACTCCGCACAAAAAGTCCTAATAGTGAAATACAATCTGTTCTGGATGAGGTGGGCAAGAATTTCCCGGAAATGCCCCAACTTGAACGAGAGCACTCTATAAGAGACTTGTTCACGCAATGTGTTCTTATGCTAGGTAGCAAGAGCTTCAGTCACGTGCTGAATGTCATTGAAAGGTACTTGTTTTTTTTTTTTTGCGGACGTTTCTGGATTTCACGCTAGGAAATGATATTAAAACAAAAAATCTTTTTGACATTCAGATACCTACCAATTTTACAGTCATTGAACGAGACATTCGAGGCAAGAGTTCATACTGTCAAAATTGTATCTGAATTCTGGGTCAATAATACGCAGGTAATTAATTATTTAGTAATCGGTCTGATCCGAATATTTATATACCGTTCCAGCGCATTTATGGTTTTGTTATTCCTAGTTTTTGGGTATTCTACTCGATAAATTATTGAATTATCGCGTTATCGATGCCATTGCTGTAATATATTGGCTTCTCACTGATGAGATGGAGAAAGATATTGCTAGGTAAGACTCTTGAGTGCTTATCCCTCGCCAATCAGTTTCATACGAGTACATAATTTTCTTTTACGTTTTGACTTTTAGATCGTACACGTGGGAAATAATGAAAAATACAATCAACAAGGTAATATCACGCGTCAAGCAAGTAGCAGTCAAATTAGAATCAGTGTTAAAACCAGGTTCCGAGAATGTTGGTCAGGGTGTGGATATAACGTCTGAAGGTGATTAATGACATCAACTAATTTAATGCGATGTTCTATTTATTGTTTCATGATTTCGTTCTTATCTATATTCTATGATTTAAAGAGAGTAAAAAGGTTAACCTCGATGAGATACAGAATCTCGAAAATACTTTGAACATGGTGACCAGAGAACAAAAAGAAGTTTTGCTAAAAGTGTTTCAACTGTGCATTTCTCGGCTTGAAAATAAGTTGACAGATTATAGCAACCAGGGAATACAAGATCCGATGGCTCAGCCATGGTTTTGGTGGGCTTATGGATTCTTCCGAGAAATTGCTCGAACGGTATGATATATGACCGAGTACGGCTGTCACGTATTTTTTTACGAAAATTATTAATTCGTACACCTCAATTCACTATTATTGTAGTATCAGCCACAGATTTCGACATTTATGGTAACATTAGAAACTGTGGTTCTTACGCCAGGGTCTAATCCGAATATTACAAATGTTATTGAGATGGTGAAATTGTTATCAAAATTTAGCGATGCGACAGTAGAAAATGACTTTTCATAGAATTTTGCATTCGAGTTTTTGTCAATGTCATTCATTCTTGATGCGTAACAGGTAATTTCTGATCAATGTAATAATAATAATATGGAGCAGCACAGGTCAATGTAACCAGTTCACTACTGACATCATTTTGAATCAAGGATTTTTTTTGCTGATAAATTAATAAAGCAATTCTTATTATTTTTCTTGAAAATATGTTTGACTCTTTAAATTATAAATTATAGTTGTAATTGATTTTTTTTAAAAGAAATTTTTGGTTATACAAATTTTAATCATATCCTTTTCTTACAAAAAACAAAAATTTTTCAATTACTAATTATACTGTATATATACTGTATACATTTGACAAGTTCTAGACAATAAATAATTATTACTCCAGTAATAGTTATTCCAATATAAAATACGTTTGAAATCTAGCACAAAAACTATGTATGTTAATCAAAATCGCAATATGTTGATTATTGGTATTATTTTATTATACATTAAAACAGGTAATAAATGTATAGTTGTGTATGCGAAAAATCAAAATAATTAAGAAAAATAATACATTGTTTTTTTTTTTTTATTCAATGCTCACAAACTTATATCAGATCAGCATCTTCCAGAAAACGGTATTCAAATCTGTGTAGATGAAAGTTGAACGTTGATAAAGCATTTGACATAACCGCGTTACACAAAGTGAATGATCGAAAAACTTACCGAAATTCCGTCTTTTTGCGCTGACACCATGCTCCCTCGTAATCGAAATAAATATAAGTGCCTTGCTCATATTCGTCGGTTATTGCTTTAGGTTCTTCATGCCTTTGAAACCAAGTCAAATATTTTTTGTGAAATCTCCATGACTGTTTTTTCAATTCCCTAGCAGCAAGATATCTAAACAAATCATACAGATTAAAAAGAGTATCAGTATCATTGTTAGGAAAGGAGGATTTCAATGGATACTTACTGTTGATAAGTTCCCTGCTGATAATAGAAAATGAAAAAGAGCGTATCAATATCAAATTTTTCAAATAATGCAGGATTATCAAATATCTGTGTAGGGCTCTGTGGATAGTGGGACGGGGTATGATAGGGATTCCTTGGCACATAATACTTGGGTCTTTAATAATAACAGAAACCGAATTAGGATGTTAAATTAAGATTAGAATTTTTAAATAGTGTGAAGAATGAAAAAATTTTGTGATTTCAGATGAAATTCTACCTCTCTGAATCTATGCTTTCTGGAACATGCTGATAGCTTGCATCCAACATTTGCTGAATGTGAAAATTGTCTTCTTTACCCAAGGCTAAAGCAGCAGAGATGAATAAGTGGTCGTTTATTCTAAAGCGAGCTCATGAAAATCAAAAAACATATAAAGCGTGATGTAGTACCCCGCTGCTTACATTTCTCTTCGGCTGCTTCATATGACGGCACCAGATCCGCTAGAGCTTCAGGTATACGATTTTCTCCAGATGAAGAGGATTCGTGATTTGAAGAACCATCTTGCTTGCTTTGGTCGGCTACGTTCATGTCTGATGGTTGCTATAAATAGAAATGGAAAAAACGAAAGTTAATGATTTCACGTTTACGAAATTCATTGTGAAAAAGTAATCCTTACTAATGGATGAGTGGGAGTTTGTGGTGGTTGAACAACAGGTATTTCGCGATTCTGCTGTTGTTGTTGTGATTGAGAAGGTGAAGGACTTATGTGTTGTTGAGTAGGTTGACTAGATTGAGGAGGTAATCGAGGTTGCTTTGCCTATGGTGATAAAGATAAATTTAAGAATTTTCCAAACGCGTATCAAGCAATTAAGATAAATTACCTGAAGAACATCATTGGGTTGCGAAAATTGCTGTTTGGTGACATCAATTGATTCGCTTGATGTCTCTGGATTAAAAATTGCACAAAAAAAAAAAAATAAACATAGATATCTTCGCGTTTGAAACCGAAGAAAACTGTCGTACCTTTTTTAGCGTCCACTTGAGGTATAGGGGGATGTAATTGTGCGGGATGTAATTGTGCAGGTTGTATTGGGGGTTGTGATGGGGGATGTGATTGTGACTGTGATTGCGGGGTTTGTGATTGCGGCTGTTGTTGTATAGGCAATTGTGATTGTGGTAAAGGAGCAACCGAATTTGTTTGTACAGGCGGTACAGGTGGTTGTGGTGCAGTCGAATTCTCTTGTGTTGTAGACACCGAAGTCGCGGGAGGGAAACGTTGCGGTATCGATACTTGAGGTACAGTATCGATTCCTTGTTTTGCCACTGCGGCCACTGTTCGAGAAGAACCGGTAAGAGAAGCAGACTTCAATGGTGCAAACGTAGCAGATGTGGGAGGTGGCGATGTTACGGTTACCCCCGTCGATATTGGTGGAGGTGGCAGCTTCGTTTTCTCTAGATTTACATAAAAGCTAGGTGTCAAACAAATAATGGCCGCAAAGTGTGCAAATTCCGAATAATTTGCACTCACCCTCTTCCTTTTGCCGTTGTGGCAGGGACTCGAAGGCATTACTAGTTTCTGGAGATGAATTTTTTTTTTTTGAGAAAAAAAAAAAGAAAAATTTTTAATCACACACATAAACTAAAATGGTATTATTATCGATAGAGGCTAATATTGGGATGAAATGAAAATCATACTTCTTGAAGGAACTGTCTTTGTTGCAGCTATTCTTGTCGTCGGAGAAGTTGCCGGGCTCGAAGGCTAACAATTTAAAGACCATTTAAATTTCAGTAGGCTATTTTAAAGCAGCAGTTCACGACATTTCGTGTGTGATAGGGAAAAGGAAAAAACATTGACCTCTTTGGGTGGCGTCCGTGATTCTAAAGCAAATAAAGATTTAATATATTTTTTAGAGTGATGTGAATTAAAGAAATTCGAATTGAAACTTACCGTCAGAATTAGACTCATCGTTGTTATGATGATCATCATTTGTAATTCCCCAAAGCTCCTCTTCCTCTTCAAGATTCAGGTCATCATATATAACCTCATCCTCGGTAAAATCAGGATCCTTATCGAATCAAAGTTGAAAACATTTAGATCCCTATTAATCCCACCATGAAAAATCCAAATATTCCTACCTGATTGTTTTCAACGTAGTATTTGATGTCCTCTTGAATTTGAATGACCTAAAAAAGAGGCATCTTAATATTGAGCTCAAACTAGCGCATACTTGACAATATATCAAAATGCTATAAACTCCCACACCTTTTCAGGAAGTATGTTTCCGTTTTCCAGTAATCGCAATATTAATTCTAATCTATTCACATGAAACTTGTGTCGCTCTATTGTACTCTCCACCTTAGCCAAGCGATCGATCTTGGCTGCATCTTTTCGACCTTTCTTGACAACACTCTGTAACAACTCAACTTCGGCCTCAGCAGTTTCAATTTGCGTTGCGAGCGCATCAATTTGATTTGATATAAATTCACAAGTTTCAATCTTTTCTTTTTCCTTAGGATCCATCTTTATTGATTGTTGTAGACCTTCCTTGGAATAAGCCTTGGTTTTCATCTCCTTTTCGCAAGCCTTAAACTTCTCCATTTGCTGTTGACAAAGAAAGAAAGAAAGAAAAAAAGGTAACATAGTAAGCAATTCGGATCGATCGCCAAGATATTGATTATGACTTCTCGCCGAGTGACTGTTTAACGAATGACGCATCACAATATTTCTCCCAGGAAATAAAGTAATTTGAAAAAAAGCAAAGCACAGAAATGAGATGAAATGAAATGAAATCGAACCTGTTCAATCAAACGTCGATTATCCATCAATGCACGTTTGTCCTTTATATCATTTGAAGATATCCATGTTTTTATCTGATCTCGGTGCCTTTGAAGTTTCTTAATTTCCTTTTTCAAGTCTTGTTCTAATTTCTCCTTTTGATTCGAATTGGTGGTTGCCTGAATTTTGTCAAAGATCCCTTCGAATGTCTCAACCCCTTCAGCCACTTTTTTGAGAACACGGTCAATATCGGCTAGACGATATAGTAGAAACAGTTAACGACGTAATTCCAAACGAACTTTCAGGAATCAGTCAACTCCCTCCACTCTCTACGTAGCCACTTCCCAACAGAATACAGTCAAGTAAGAAAAAAATTCTACTTTACTTTGTAATTTTCTGTTCGTCATTTTGGAATGGAATGAGTATTGTAAATTGTATAAAAAAATGTGCGCGTGATATATTCCGTTGCTCAGAATTAATTACGATCACGTGAAAAGCTCGTGCGTAACCAACGTTAAATTCAATTTACAATATACAAGTGTCATAATTAGAGAATCTCTTGATAAGAGGTGATAGAGATGATATATAGCATAGAATATTGCAGATAAAAAAAATAATATTCTATGCTTGATTTAATAATAATAGTATGGTGTCATCACCTTTATAAAACCAACAATTTTAAAATGCTAATAATGTCTTTTATTTTAATATAAGTATCAAAAAAAAAAAACAAGTGATTATGACATTGCATTGCAAAGGATAGGGATTTAAAGTTAAGGAAAAAAAAAATAAACCTTTGCATTGAACTGTATATAATTGGATATAATTTGTTCGAATACACCGTTATATTTGGATTCAGGATCTCCTCTCACTGCTTTCGCACTTCCTGATCCGGCAAACAGCTACACACATCTTGCCGCATATCACAAATTCACATCAATGTATCGTGTAACCCTTTTCACCACAACCATTGTGATTTTGAAACACTAGCCAAGAAGCACACCTCACACCATTTCACCTTGCTTATCTTTTTTTTTTAAATGTCGAGCGTTAGTACCGTGCCTTGCCAGGTGAGTACGCTCAATGTCACGGGTCACGTCTTGAAAGGTTCCTGATTGCTCATTGTTTTCCGCGGACATCTTAAATGCTAGTATCGAACTGGTAAGACTCTCGGGCATGGCACATATGCCGTGGTCAAAGGTATGATTTCACCAGACAACTGGTGTTCTGCTATTATACCCTGTATCTTCACACCAACTTGAACTGTTCTTAACGTTTTTTCCCTCTTTTTAAAACGTAGAGGCCCAACACGTAAATACTTTTGATGCCCTCATATTTGTTTTTGTATACCGGGTGACCATATTATATTTCTTTTCAACCCTCTATAGATCAGCACCGGACAATATTATGCAGTAAAAGTGATTAATAAAAAGTTGATGGAGGGCAGAGAGCACATGGTTCGTAATGAAATCACAATTTTGAAAAGGATTTCTCAGGGCCACAAAAACATTTTGACATTGCATGATTACTTTGAAACCTTAAACAATCGTATGTCTTTTCTTATTATGAATCAAAATAAATGCTTGTTGGATGAATCGATAATTGTTCTCTTAATTTCAATCCTCCACCTTCCAAAAAGTGTATTTGGTTACAGAGTTGGCGCATGGAGGGGAACTTTTCGACCGTATTTGCGCCAAGGGTAGTTACAATGAACGCGATGCGGCTAATCTCGTAAAGAGCATAACGGATGCTGTCGCCTATCTCCACGATAATGGGATCGTCCATAGAGGTAGGTTTTTGCATGCTGAAGATTCAGTGTATCTCGATTTTTATTGGTTTTTCGATCTTTTTCGATTGATTAATTTGTGGAATTTCAGACCTTAAGGTGAACCATTTGACCCGAGCATATTTTTTTTTGAAGTTTTTGGTTTTACTTGAAAGAATTGCATCATCCGAACGATTGCCTATTTGTTTGTAGCCAGAGAATCTTCTCTTCAAAACGACCGATCAGAGTTCGGATCTTCTGATTGCCGACTTCGGATTGTCCAGAATCATTGACTCTGAAACGTTTCATATTCTTACCACCACTTGTGGCACTCCGGGCTACATGGTAACTCAAAAGAATATTCATCTTAAGTTAATCGCGATAACCGAAATTGACTTAACGGATTTATAGGCGCCCGAGATTTTGAAAAAATTGGGACACGGCAAACCTGTTGACATGTGGGCCATCGGTGTAATTACTTACTTTTTATTGTGTGGCTACCCTCCCTTTGATCAAGAGGGTCCATTGGAAGAGATGAACGCCGTTCTTCGAGCGGAATATAAATTTGAGCCTCCTGAATATTGGGAAGGAATAACGCAGACAGGTAAGGCCTTATTGTTTGTTTACTAGACCTAGACGTATTCTTATTCCTGTTGGGATTAACCATTGTTCCTGTGATTACAGCCAAGGATTTTATTCATAAACTGTTGATCATCGATCCAAATCATCGTATGACTGCTCGTCAGGCACTCGATCACCCATGGCTACTAGAACCCATACCAAGTCCCGTTGGTGTATCTCCTAATCCTGACTTGTTGCACAGTGTTCGTCATAATTTCAATGCCCGTCGAACGCTTAAGAAAGCAATAGACGCCATAAAAGTGATCAACAATCTTAAAAGTCATTCGAGAAATAATGGTATCACTAATTTGCTAGTTGACGAGCATGTCGATCATGTGTTATATGTCGAACATTAGGGATAATTTACCCGTTTTCACATTGTGAATGATATCCCTTCTTTTTTTTTTCGTTTAGTGCGTGTTTTATTCGTTTTCTTCAAATCTTTTCTTGTTTACATAATGTAAATGATTTTTAAATTAAATAAATTAAATGAATGAATGAATGCTAATCACAACTTTGCGCATAATCACATGATTCATTCCGTGAAATAAAAATTCATTGTGCAAGACGAAATTTCCAATTCGAAATTTGGATCATGACTACGCGCGACACACATTCGATGCAAGTTTTTCGAAACATTCTCGTTTACCATTTCACTTTATCTGCTCTTGATGTGCCGAGGAGACGCTGAACTGTCATTTTTCATTTCTCGTTTTTTTTCACGATAACGAACTTAGGACCTTGACGATACCTTTTCCAACCTCACGCCTCGCAACCATAGCGCAAAAAGTTCTGAGCGTGGATAAAGAGCTAAGAGCAACTGAGGTTGAAAGGATTATTACAACCGATAAGGAAAATATTATAGTGTGTGTATCCTCTCACTTTTTTTCTAATAAAATACTGTATACCTAACTTTCCCTTTGAATTTAGAAAATTTAATTGTACAAATGTCAAGATATTAAGGATATCTGTGAATTCCATGCTGGAAATGATGATTATGATGGTTAAGACCATGGATGCTTTTGATGAACTCGAATAACATATCATTCTGCTAAAGATGTTTACAGATTGGAATAATGAAAAAAATCTTTAACTAGTTATGATTTTCAAAAAAAAAAAAATTGACATAAAATAAAATTTTTTTAAATTTAAATTTATTTAATTTGATATTTTTGAAAAAAAAAATAATAATTTCACAATATTAGTCTTAAATAATAAATTTAAAATATATTTAATTGAAACTGTGTAATAATGAAATAAATAAATATTAATTTTCTTAAAACATAGATACTGTATATTCTGAATTTATTTGTAAATGATCGAGATGATCGTTTATTTTGTTAGTAACATTTAATTAGTAAGTATGAAGAAAGTTTGATGGGTTGGACGTTTTTTTGGATTATACACAATGGGTCCATTTTTCCTCTGAAGTCATTTTTTTTACTTGCATCACATGTAAAAATTCTCTCGCTTATGCATGTAACATCTAACTTCACGGAATCAACCTCCATTATAGGATCATGATTTATTTGTGTTGAAATTATTCGCTCGGCGGCTCCACAACTTCTACTTTCTTTTGTTCTGCAATAGAAAGTGGTTTATTAAAAAGGACATTCTTAAGTACTTGGGAGATCAAACCATGACATGCTTCAACGGTGATCTTTGTGCTAAGTAGAAAATGCGCTGTTTGTTAAAAAGCGGTATATGATGAGTGACGCGAATTATCGTGACCATAAGAACGAACCTATCCTTGGTAACCTTGCTGAGTGGACTTTCCTCTATCCTTTTCTTCTCAGGCGCCGGGGATGAAGTGGTGCTGGCACTATTGGTGGTCGCTGCAGTTGATGATGAGGCTGCGACAGTTTGCGAAGGTGTAGTGGCACCGCGACTTCCTCCCATTCCCCCAAAGCCAGATACTCTACCATTTTGTTGCAACTCTGTTTCAGCCTGATCTAATTTTTCTGCCAGATCTGCGATTTGTTCTGCAGAATAATCCCGATTCTAACGATATGATAAGGTCTTAGATCATATTCTTTAAATTTTAGAAACATAACATTCCTAATAAATAGCATATCTTTTAAATAAATTACCGTGATCAACGGTGATTGTGATAATGTGTTGACCCAATACTTGTGCCAAAGTAACTCCAGTAAATGCGTGTCAAGAGTAGACTTGAAATGTGATATCTCGAGTTGATAATATCTATAAAATAAAATAAAAATTGAAAACATAAATATTTCGGATATCGTCGATCAATCGGGCTATAATGGAACTATCTCATATACCTACTGTTTGCAGTGAACGCCAAAATCCTCGATTTTACTCAGAGGAATGGTTTGATATTCAGAAGGACCATCGTCAGGCACTTTATGCCCCTAATAGAATGGGCATAAAATTAAACATACAAGTCGTGGATGTGGATGAAGTGATCTTATAAGTAATCGTTATACCGCTGGGTAGGTTCGGAACGCACCAATTTCAACTTTTCCGGCAGATACTGTTCGATTGGGATCAATCTACACGAGTATTAATAATGAACTACCATTAAATACACTTCCAAAGAGATTTCTTTAATATACAAAAAAACGTTAAAATTCCTAATTCTTACAACTACAGCAACAAAAGGATCTTGGAATTGTTGATTTGTCATTTGAGTATTGACGTCAATCCCAGAGAGCCAGCATCCATAACCCGGATGACTATGATACCATCCCACAACATTCTCAAGCCTTCCTACCTAGAATTTTTGGTTCATTCAATAAAAGGGTAAAGGCAATATTTTTTGTTCTAATAATTTAAAATACACTAACCTGTCTGATAGTGGTCAGATATTGAACCATGTATTCGTAAGCTTCAGCCTGAGCATTCACTCTTGTCTCAGTTCCTTCAACCGGCAACGCGAAAGCATCCATAATGATTATCGTATTACCATCAATTTTTCCTTGCATAAGACCCATCACTTCAATACTCCCACCCGAACGGGCATGCATCACCTTAAATAACAAATAATTTATCATTATAAATACTATTGAGAAACATAAAACACCAAAAAATTTCTTTGATCCGTACCATTTTTATTAGTGCAACTGCCGAAATTTTGACTTTGGTAAAATAATGAACGCTAAGGCGTTTCGAAAACAAACAATATGTTGAGTTTAATAGTCGATGACAATTATTATGTCAGTCTTCCAGTCTAGCTTTGTTCGGGACTGCTATCAATGCTTCTCCGAAAAATGTTCGTCAACGAAACAAAGTAATGGCGATAAATTATACACATACTCTTTGGTCCAAGGTTTCTCTTGATTTATCAGTACTTGCTCGTCATTATTATACCGGTATATTTGATCTTGAGCGGGATCAACTGTGATAATGTTGTTGGAAAATTCGAAGGTCTTGCGGGCAATTTCGGTGTCCATTATTGGGGGCGAACAGTAATTTCTGAAATTCTTACATGGTTTTTATATATCAATCTCACATGACATATCTATAAAAATAATCCATTAAATGCATGAATATGTTTACGATATCTATTATTGAATATTTATTAAAAGAATAATGGCTATAATAAATTTCATAAAATTTTTTTGAAATATACTGTATACTGTATCTTTAAGAAAGATACCTATTCAAAGAAACAAAAATATTTACTGTAAAAAAGATAAATCCTAAAAAATGTAGTTAAAATATATCATTCTAAATGTCTTTTTTAAATATACATGTATATCCATTTTTAAATATATTTTTAGGAAGTTTCAAATTAAATTGATTATATAAAATATGATACAGTGTAATATATAAAATATAAATAAAATTAGATTTGATTAAAAAATATATATTATTGCATATAAGTAAGAAATAATATAAATAAAATACATAATAAATAAAAATATATTTATAAGAAAAAATATAATAGTTAAAATAGAATAATTCAAATTTATATTTTTTTAAAATAATCAAAATTTGAAGTATTTATTTTTAATTTTTTTAAAAAAATGTTTAATAAAATTAAATAAAATATATAATGTAAAGAATTCAAATTGATTAAAACTTTTTTTTTTTTTTTTTTTTTTTTATAGTAGAATAGTATTAGATGTAGGTTTTATTGAATATTAACTTATGAATATTACAATTTACATATCAAACATCCTCTGTAATATTACAATTACAGCTAAATAATAGCCTATTTATTGTTATGCTTAGCAATGTCCTCCACACTCTTGAAGTGTTTCTTATATATTTGAGGAAATCTGTTTAGGAAGTAAAAATCCTACTACTAATTTTAAACCATTTAACTTATCAGTTCAATTTTTGGTATGCGTTATGATTAGGATAGGTATCACTAGCTATTTTATAAGTTATCTATTACGTCTCACCTTTTTGTTCACAATACTATATCATAAAGAAGGCCTTTAGTGCAAGTATGCATTTTCTAGTGAATGCTTCAGTTTTAACCACTGATTGAACACTACCAAATTTAAGAGCCATATAATCAACTAGAATATAACTTCTTAAGAGTTTAGTCTATATTTACTGATATTGCTACCAGTGCTAACAAACCAAATCAAACAATTAGCAACAGACCAACACTTCTTAATCTTCTAGTAGACAATTCAGATTTGGATTAATTGGTGTATATTGCTAAATCTAGTAATAATAATATCAAGCAGGATGCAACTCTTATATATTCTGTTTTACTATATGACTGCCATATCTGTACATGAGCATGTATCAGTTCAGTGATCTTCTTCAAGATATCCTTATTCTATAGCTAATAAGAGAACCGGTAAGTTAAGATAAAGTATATTTCAGTTTGTATATTCAAATATATAGGTAAGTTTTTGGCTAGACCAATAATCATTGTATCACTTTCTGAACAATTGTCATATCATAACACCTTTTCTAAAGATCACAATCTCAATACCCATTGAATCAATGTGTAAAACAGCTTCGCATAAAAAACAGCATATGATAGGTTATAGTACCAAATATTATATAGATTCTATTTAATTACCTTTATCTGGGATTAAACTGATATTTTGTAATCTGATCTATAAAGTACTAACTATTGCACTATAGATCCACAGATCTTCAAATTGATTAAAACTATTTTGTTAATTTCAAAATAATATTAAGTAAATCTTTATTATTAACTTTGTTTAATTAATTTAAATTATGAAAATATATATTTATAAATAATTAATATTGTATTTATTTATTTTTATTTATTTAAATACAAATAAGTATCAAATATAGAATTTTATTAAATCATAAAAAAAACTTTTTAATTATTATATTAAATATTTGTTTGAATTAATATAAAACCTTTTTTTTTTAATGTTAGAGTGAGATATTACTTATGATCTTTATTAATAAAGTAAAAGTTTAACTTGTTACATAATTAATACTAAGATATGAATTATATCGCTATAGATATTAACCTACTACCCATTAAACAAATATATTATCTGAAAAATCCTTGAGCAGAGGAAACCTGAAGAACTATTTGTTGTGAAAAATAAAAAATAAAAAAACATTTGAGGCAAGATTGCTGGCATTGTATAACATTTGGTTGAAAAGAAAAAAAAAAAAATTGAAACTTTTGTTATATGTAGTTCCTGAATGCAATTAGATGTTTCAGTTGGATGTCAGCATCGCGCAAGCCACATATAACTTGATGGGTTTGGTCGTGTGATATTTTGTGATATTGTTGTTATGTAATTTGGTCATATTGTAATGTAAATAATAGGATAACTGGAATATGTTCCAGATGTCTATTATATTATTGTGATGAGATGTCATGTATTATGATTACTGGAATCTGCACAGGGCACTGATCACACACTCTTCCAATCCGGTAGGTTGTTATATTGTTTTGGTGTATGAAAGTGATACAGAATGTAATTAGTGTTTTGTGTATTGCAGATCATTCGATGGGGGTAAGCTGGTTGTGGTTTTTGTATTGAAATTTGTGGACGAGGATTGGTAACTAGCCAGAAGATTATATGAAATCTAGCACTAGTTATCATCAGCAGAAAACAAAAAAAACTCTAAAAAATAAAATGCTGCCTCTTGAAAATGAGATTGTTTTTGAGTTAAAGATAAAAGATATGGTTGTTTTGTAGCAGTTATATATAGAGATAACCTTTACATAGAGAATTTTCTTTTTATTCGTCTTTTCTGTTCTAAGTTATTGCCCAGTAAGGATGGATCCCTAAACTATTTAGCATATAAAATTTTGCAGATCAATTATGTCCCTTTTGAAGGGACATAATTATTTATTCATTATT